CCTCCCAAACATGCACGCTCCCGGATTGGTTGAAGTGCGTCACGTGACCGCGAGCTTTCTGTCGTGCGTGAATGCGCTGTCCAACCAAGTTCCTACCTGCCCACTCCGAAGGGACGTGTTTTTGACTGCAAGAATCCGATGAGATTTGAAGCAATTTTTCACAGATGCCCGGTATGGGCGGGTCGGCGAGTTACAACAGCAAAACACAAGGCATAAGAACAACATGAGTGCAAGAATAGAGGAAACGGTAAGCAAGTCACTAAAGAAAAAAAAAAACGTCGTCAATTGAACCTTATGGCGGGACCCCGGGGTCCCATAAGCCCCCGGCTCTCGCATAAACTGCGTTGCGACATAATTTTATGTTCGTTGAAGGCGAACAACACGGAAATCTATTCCTCTCGACGAGCTCTACACGATACGCTAATCAAAGATTTGTTTGTGACTACGGCAATTTTTTGCAACGACGGGTGCTTGGTGAAGAACGAGAGGATTGATTTCTGGTGGGTCGCGGCGTTCATGTGCGCTGTGGGATGGAGTCGCCAAAATTAATTAACTAATAACGATCTTCTTGGTTCTTTCGGTAAAGTCATGTAGAAGGGCAATAATACAAATAAAACATAATAAAATAATTCTCACGTTTCGGCCACAACGCAAGCAGCCGTCCTCAGGTGTTTTTCCGACAGACCTGTTCTTCACCTGAGGACGGCTGCTTGCGTTGTGGCCGAAACGTCGTGAGAATTATTTTATTGGTTTATTTTAATTATTTTATTATTTCCCTTCTACGTGACTTTACCGAAAGAACCAAGAAGATGAATCCCTGCAGTCACGAAAGCTTTAAATCGAAACTAATAACGATTTTAGACTTCCGTTTATTTGGAAACCCCGGGGTCCCGCCATAAGGTTCAAGTAATGAATGATTTAAGTCCGATTTTTCGAGCTTGGACAAAGCAGCAAAAACAAGAAAAAAAGTCCCGGACCACACCGATATAACGCCACCCAGTGTTCCTTCATTACAATGGCACATTAACATCCAACGGTTAACGCCGTGGCTGAAGTTGGACTTGAAATAAAGGCGGAGGCTTGGTAGTGGCCGTGTCTTTGCCCATCTACGTTACTATGACGTCACGGGGGGGGGCGTGGTTGAAGCGTGATGAATCGCGAATTGCGATCCACTAGGACATCGATTCCCACCCAAATGATCGATTCTGCCGCGTCTCCTCGGGGCCGCCATCTTGGAAATGTCCGCTTTTATTTTTTTATTTCAACTTAAAAACCGGCGGTTTAAAGAGAAAAAATAATGGCGTTTTAATGAAATGTTAATGTAAGTCTGTCCTAACACTAGACGATACTGCTATACTCTTTGATACTGCTATGTTGATTCGCTATGGCCTTTAAAAAAATGTTTTTAAGATGTCCGATTTCATCATTGCCCGCGTGCAAGTATATTCTGATGTCCGCGTTTATTTCAACTTAAAACCCTTACTGATCTTGCGTAAAATTCCGCGGCCAAATCATTGAGCAGATTCACTAACATGTCATCAATGGCAACGATTCATTCGCGGATCGAGATGGGCACGTCACGTAATGTTTTCTAATGTTTTGAAGGAGAGTGAAACACGGGACACAGGAGCAGATTTAAAACATCGTTATTGTATAATGCAGGTGTACACACCTAAACCGTGCATCAGCCAATGAGCCTTACGTTATTTTTCAAAGGTTATCAGATATTTGAGGGCAGAGTTATTTTATGCTAATGATAGGTCAGGCTCCAGGTAAAGTGGTTAACAGGTTGCTGTTTTCCAAATGTCAGCAGGTGGAATTTAGAAATTTGATACCCGTGAATATTTTAAAATTGCGTGATCATCTTTGATATTTTAGTTTTCAGGCAGAGAGAGTGTCAAAGGTTGTTACAAAGTCCTTCAGACAGAGAGACGAGGGACCTGGAGCTGAGTTTTCAGGTAGATTGATTAAAGTTTCCGTGTTACAGGCAGACTGGTGCAGGGAGTGTATGAACAGGTTGCAGTGTTACAAGCAGACTGGTGCAGGGAGTGTATGAACAGGTTTCAGTGTTACAAGCACAGTGGTATTCAGGCCACTCCTGACCATCGCGGTGTCTGGGTGTGGTGGCCGTGCCCTGCAGGCTCCGCCGTGGGCTTTCAAGGAGGAAGAATTCGCCATTGGTGAACCTCAGGTGTTTTTCCGACAGACCTGTTCTTCACCTGAGGACGGCTGCTTGCGTTGTGGCCGAAACGTCGTGAGAATTATTTTATTGGTTTATTTTAATTATTTTATTATTTCCCTTCTACGTGACTTTACCGAAAGAACCAAGAAGATGAATCCCTGCAGTCACGAAAGCTTTAAATCGAAACTAATAACGATTTTAGACTTCCGTTTATTTGGAAACCCCGGGGTCCCGCCATAAGGTTCAAGTAATGAATGATTTAAGTCCGATTTTTCGAGCTTGGACAAAGCAGCAAAAACAAGAAAAAAAGTCCCGGACCACACCGATATAACGCCACCCAGTGTTCCTTCATTACAATGGCACATTAACATCCAACGGTTAACGCCGTGGCTGAAGTTGGACTTGAAATAAAGGCGGAGGCTTGGTAGTGGCCGTGTCTTTGCCCATCTACGTTACTATGACGTCACGGGGGGGGGCGTGGTTGAAGCGTGATGAATCGCGAATTGCGATCCACTAGGACATCGATTCCCACCCAAATGATCGATTCTGCCGCGTCTCCTCGGGGCCGCCATCTTGGAAATGTCCGCTTTTATTTTTTTATTTCAACTTAAAAACCGGCGGTTTAAAGAGAAAAAATAATGGCGTTTTAATGAAATGTTAATGTAAGTCTGTCCTAACACTAGACGATACTGCTATACTCTTTGATACTGCTATGTTGATTCGCTATGGCCTTTAAAAAAGTGTTTTTAAGATGTCCGATTTCATCATTGCCCGCGTGCAAGTATATTCTGATGTCCGCGTTTATTTCAACTTAAAACCCTTACTGATCTTGCGTAAAATTCCGCGGCCAAATCATTGAGCAGATTCACTAACATGTCATCAATGGCAACGATTCATTCGCGGATCGAGATGGGCACGTCACGTAATGTTTTCTAATGTTTTGAAGGAGAGTGAAACACGGGACACAGGAGCAGATTTAAAACATCGTTATTGTATAATGCAGGTGTACACACCTAAACCGTGCATCAGCCAATGAGCCTTACGTTATTTTTCAAAGGTTATCAGATATTTGAGGGCAGAGTTATTTTATGCTAATGATAGGTCAGGCTCCAGGTAAAGTGGTTAACAGGTTGCTGTTTTCCAAATGTCAGCAGGTGGAATTTAGAAATTTGATACCCGTGAATATTTTAAAATTGCGTGATCATCTTTGATATTTTAGTTTTCAGGCAGAGAGAGTGTCAAAGGTTGTTACAAAGTCCTTCAGACAGAGAGACGAGGGACCTGGAGCTGAGTTTTCAGGTAGATTGATTAAAGTTTCCGTGTTACAGGCAGACTGGTGCAGGGAGTGTATGAACAGGTTGCAGTGTTACAAGCAGACTGGTGCAGGGAGTGTATGAACAGGTTTCAGTGTTACAAGCACAGTGGTATTCAGGCCACTCCTGACCATCGCGGTGTCTGGGTGTGGTGGCCGTGCCCTGCAGGCTCCGCCGTGGGCTTTCAAGGAGGAAGAATTCGCCATTGGTGAACCTACCAGTGCAACCACATTTCTGCAACCTGTGAGCCGTGGGCGTTTGACGTCTACGGTACCGCCGAGTACGGAGTCTGTCAAGCACTCACCTTGCTGCGATTCGTGCATCAGAGCCTGGGATTCTGAGGCTGCAAGCTGCTCGTGAGTGTGGCGTAAAAGAAAAATTTCAAATGGACAAAAAAATATATCCTATAAACAGGTCCCTGCGGGGTGGGCTGGTAGGAACGAATAACCAAAGAATATAAACATAATGTATTATTACACTTGTTTAGCCAGGAAAGCCTCAATGAGTGTAAAGGTTTTTGTAGGGTCCTGCCAAGTGTTTGCAGTAGGGGGCGATGTTGCTACACCTAATCGGACATCGGACGGACGGACGATATAATCTATTGTAGGCTGGTTCACTTCGTTCCTACCAGTAAAAGATACCGTATTTACTGTACCGTACTTACTGCTCCAATCTCGAAGACTCCGCATGGGGTGATGTACGTAGCGCTAGGCTCTTGTTTGGAAACCTCTTGCGTTTGACGATCGCCGATCTGATGCAGCCTTTGGACCGGTGCTCCGGCGCGCACTTTTCACCGGATCGCACTCAATATTTTCTTCTAGATTTGAAGTTTTCGTGACTGTAAGGCTCCATACTCTTTGTTTTTTTGGTAAAGTCGCGTAGGTAAAAAATAAATAAAATAAAAAACCAAAGAGTATCGATATTTTCTGTTTTATGACTGCGGTTATTAGTCATGAAAAGTGCAGCATTTTCATTGTCTCAGTTGTATGTAGTGTTTAGTGTATCCGACGTAATATTTGACACTGGTATAAAGCGTTGTTACTTTGTCGTGCACATGGTGCCGATCACCGGACTAGTTACAGCCTTTGGAGCGGATTCTCTGGTTTTCGCCGGATTGGCCTGGGCCCGCTGGATAATGTTGGAAGCCGGATAATCACGCACCGGGTGATCTAACCTATAAAAGGCATTTTATGTCTGTCTGTGTCTGTGGCTGAAACTTGCGAAGGATTTGCCTCACAAACCGTGGGGTTTTTGTATAAAATAACAGGCAACGTTTCGATCAGTTGCCCTTCTTCAAAAAGTGGCAGGTAGGTCTATCCACCTCTCCACCTACTGTGCCTAACTTGCAGTGCTTTTGGCAAACGGAGTGTTTGAGTTTTTAACCAGACCGTAGGGAACAAGCAGTATTGTCCATACTCAACCAGTTTGAAATGTCGAATGTTTGCTTTGCAGCTGACGTGTCAAGGCGTGCACCTAACCACTGCATCTAAATTTAGATTTCCTCATTCCATGCATCGTACTAAAAGAGCCCCACCGCAGTGGCGTCGTGCACTCGCCAGAGACCATGGCTTCGTCTTCATCGAGCCAAGAGGACGATTTCTCCTGCTCCATCTGTCTCCAATTATTTGACATCCCCGTGAGTCTAGCCTGCGGCCACAACTTTTGCAAGAAATGTGTGGAGAGAGCCTGGGATGCAGAGGCGGCGCATGTCCGCTTCACCTGCCCTCAGTGCCGCAGGCGCTACGCCCAGAAACCAGAGCTCAGCAAGAACGTGTTCATAGCCGACTTGGTGGAGAAGTTTAAGAGCTCACGGAAAAGCCAATGTTGTGATCACAAGGAGCCCATGAGGTATTACTGCCAGACACATGCGCGTCTGGTCTGCGAGACCTGCATGCTGGCGGGAGGTCACAAAGGCTGCGATGCATTCACCGTGAAGAAGCAGAAAAAGAAGAAGAAGGTGAGCGATCGTCATTGCACAATTCCATTAAATACATCGATACGTAATTTAAAATATTAATCTGAATTATTTAAGAAGTGTATACATTGTTTGTCTCATAACTGTGATTCTTAAATATGTCACTGTTAGAGTTAATGTTAGGTAAGTGACACTCAGTTTATGCTGCTGTGCAGTTATCTGGGTGAAATGTTTAGCTCAATCCTGTCTGGCTGTCTCAACAAACTAATTAAACTAACTCAACACATACGTCTATAACGCTGCCCAAAAAGGACAAACATAAAATGCATATTAAGCAATGACCTTGCTTCATAGCAGAGAGATGCTTTCGTTATTTGTGCTTTTGTCAACACGGTACGGTCAGTCCTCACCTAACGCGTGATCACACTATAACGCTTTTTTGCTATAACGCGGTTCTTACATTTTGCAAACACTTTTTGGACAATGAGGAATCCTTACCCCGTTGTAACGCGGAACGTCCGTCTCAGCGGTACAGTGATACTGTGTGCAGAATGATACATCAACGTGGCAGCATACCCTCACTGTGTGTGTGTACATTGTATCTCGCCAAACTTTATCATTACAATATTTATGGATAAATAGTTTTCACTTCAAGCATTTTTTGCTTAAATTTTCAGGAACGCATCTACCGCATTAAACGAGGACTTGTACTGTATCGGTATCAATACTTTCGAGAAGTTAGTCCATTGAGATGTGAGTCTACATAGAGTATAGTAAATCAGTACATCTGATCTAATTCATATTTATAAAGTGCCTTCACTCAAGCCACTTGCCATAGCTTACCAAACGGTGACAGAATATATCGTGCTAATGATCTCAATAAAGGCATCTTCAGAATGCTAAACACTTGGAATATGTAAAATACAATATAAAAAGCTATTTACCCGAGGCAATATTATCTACAAAGAATTAAAGCCTCTTAATTAATATTTCCGGGGATTTCTGATGAGCCCCTTCTGTGACCTTTCCCCTAGATGTCCCCCTCTCGTATATATTGTGGCCTGCTGACGAGAGTACTGCCGTACACCTTAGTTCCCCTTTTTCACCAGCAGCCAGCGCTATGCCACTACATTGTACTTACATCAGCCACAATCTGGCTCAAGCAGTGACGTCATAGCGGCCATGTTGTATGGAGGAACGTGTGGCCATTTTGTCTTTCGGACGATTGGTTAGAGTAAGTGCCGAATTAAGTTAGTGCGGGGCTTGTAGCATATGTTACAAGCTGGCCCTAAATAAAATAAAAACACGTAGATATTAAAACACAAACTTTTTACTTGCATAGTTAAGTAATTGTATTTTTTCATTTGCTATACAGCAAGATAATACGACAAATCACTAACCTTAAACACCTAGTCTTTATAAAAGTTGAAGGCAGTATAGGACTATAGCAATAGAGCAAGTGCAGACTCACTCAAGCAGAATTGATAGCTTGAAAGCATATAGCTTGGGGCCCTTGAAAGTGCGGGGCCCGTAGCATATGCTACTTTTGCTACTAAGATAATCTGGCACTGGTTAGAGTCATTATGTTAATCATTGATCCTTCACTCCAACATCCTTTTCTCCGTTGATGTTGGATTTGTTTTCTATTATAACACTGGATCTCAGTACAATTGCAGATTTCTAGACCCTCAACACATTTTTGAAGCAATTTCTCTGCTCACGTCCCAGTAATTGATCTCATTATCTTGACATGTTCTATCAATTCTGCTGCCGTCTCACCACAGGAGACAATTGCAGGAGAGAATAGAAGAATGAAAAAGGAGAAGACTACGGAAGAAAATTCCGTCACTTCTCTGAAGAATTCATTAAAATCTTTTCAGGTAGATGATAAATGTCTGTCTTCAGATGACTGCAGTCCCAATATACACGTACTGTATTTACAAACGACTTGCACCATTGTTCTCGAATCGTAAACGTTGTAGTGGGTTTACTCTCCAAAACACAAGAAGTTAGTGCTGAACTAGTGACGAATTAGCACGTTTGTTTACGTGACAAACCCTTACTAATTGGCTGTGTCGAGTGGTGGCGGGTTTTAACGACATTTATATTTACGCGATATAACAAAAAAAACCTTTGTTATGGACTTGCACCGATTCCCAGAAGCTGTCCTACCCCTTGGTGAATCTTGGTCTGTTCATACCAATCTTAATTTTTCTTTTATCACAAATTTATTCACCAATTATCGACAAAATAAGAGGTTCATCTTTAAAATATGTCCGGTTGTATGTTTAAATTCTTTCGCAGCGTATGTAGCCAACACGTGCTAATCGGTTGGCAATGAATGCTGCACCAATTCAAACAATTGTGAGTCGTTTGAAATAAATACGCAGCTTATGTGAACATTGTAGAAATGTTAACATTTTACGTGATCATTTTACATCTGCCTTTGCGCTGCTTCGCCGACCAACAATCTACAATAACTCTGGGCACCGTAAGCACTGCTTTACAATCAAACAACAGATAGGCTTATATAGGAACCTTTCACCAGTATCAAGATATTGAATGCAGCAAAATGCGAATAAATATATATATTCTTTGGGTCTTTCGGTGAAGTCATGGAGATAGGTTCAAAGAAAACAACAAAACACTACTACGTTTCGATCGCTACACACACATCCTGATGACGACCGCTTGTGTTGCGATCGAAACGTCTTTTGTTATTTTCTTTGAACCTATCTACGTGACTTTACCAAAAGACCCAAAGAATATTAATTTCTGCAGTCACGAAAGCTCTAAGTATAAATACATATACTTTGATAATGTATGCATTGTCATTGAAACTGATTGGCCTACACCAGTGACAACCTCCTTCATGGCCTTGTCTCTGCACCCGTGCGATAGATGTGTGGTTGCGCAGATGTGATGCCTGAAAGAAATGCAACAATGTCTACTATCTCAATACACACGGATGCACTGGTGCAGTATATCTTACATAATTAATATCCATAATGTAATAGACACACAAACACCCACAGAGCTTAAAGCTAAGAAGTCATCAGTGGCCGCTCTTATATTATCTAGATTTCTATAGCGCCTTAACCTAAGGTACTTTACAGCAATTATACAAATGGTACATAAGATTATAGTGCTTGAGATAAAGAGTGTGGTTATTAAAAGTGGTGGTGTAGTTACGGTGAACGTTTGGAAAGCAGGCGGGAGAGATTATGGAGGGGTAATAATAGGGGTTAGGGTAGTGATAGGGGTAACGATTGGGGTTAGGGGAGTGATAGGGGTTGGGGTAGTGATAGGGGGTTGTGGTAGTGATTGGGGGAGTGATAGGTGTAATGAGAGGGGTTAGGGGAGTGATAGGGGTTGTGGAAGGCCTGGTCGTAGCTACAGGGTGGGGACAGCGAGTAGCAGTAGCAGCAAGATGGGCGAGGGAGAAGAGATGGCGGTTGTTCAAAGGGAGGTAGAGACTGTGAGCAGAGAGGAAGGGATGTGGGGGCAGTGCAGTGGGAGACAACAGAAGCGAGATAGGGTGGAGTAAGAACACGGAGGGATTTGTAGACTCGAGTGAGACATTTCAACAGACTGCGATAGTAGACAGGAACCCTGTAGGAGTTGAGAAAGGAGAATAGAAGTGTGGCATTTGCACGGGAGGTTAAAAATTATCCAGTCTGAGGAATTTTGTATCCGCACCTCTGATCAGCGTGGTTGGCTATGTAGTTATACATCTGCTCGAGAGGAGCGAAGGCGTTGGCAGAAAGGCCACAAATAAGAGAGTTGCAGCAGTGGAGGTTAGTGGAAACGAGGGGAGTGAATCCGGAGCGTAGCAGCAGAGAGTGAGGTGAGCGGACTCGTGGTTATTTTGAGCTCGCTGGCCACATCGGGGTCACTTTTCTAGATACTCACAATGGTCCAGCTTCTTGCCAGTGTCCACTGCCAGTGCGTGTGGTGATGTAAAGAGATCTTGTGCGGGTCTCCAGGACTTGACTGAAAATGTCAAGGATCGGATCGTGGAGAGCTTCGCCCTTGATAGACGACTGCTGGATGAGGAGGAGCAGGAGGCCCTGGACGGAGTGCAGGAGGAGAGTCGCCAGGAGCTGTCGCGGATCCAGAATAAAATTGCGGGGCACGTGAATGAAATAGGGACCCTCATCGAAGACATTGTCTACCTGGAGAAGATGATGGCACTGCAGGATCCAATCGCCTATTTAAATGATGATCAGGTGACATCGAGGCTCATTAAGTTCCACATTGAGGTGAGACCCAGAGTCAGGTGGTGGCAAGGAGATGTTAACTACCTTGCCTGGTATGCTGGAGGTCGTGGGTTCGGTCCCGACCCGGACGTCTTATGTATATTTGGAGGTTGCGTCTCTTTCTCCCTCTCCCCGTGGTCGCGATATTTTTTCTCCGGTTTTCTCCTTCATATTTAGAAACACGCCTTTAGTTTATTTGGCTGCTATAAATTTCCACATGATAAGCTATTTCGTTGATCTATCATTTGTGATAGCCAGGTTACTTCTGAAAAAGAGCGATATACCTCAGTGGGCCTTACCTGGTAAAATAAAAATAGTTTAGTTTAGTTGAGGTGAGACCCAGTCTGTTCTAAGATTGCTCTATAGTCTGTTTCATTCAAGGCATCCTAAATAGTTGATTTTTTGCATTTGAAGCATTAAAAAATAATACATAATTTCTATCTATCTGTTCGTCATGTTTATAACAACACTCATCTTCCAATCAGAAGCTGATATCTTACTGTCTCGTTTGAGGATCCACTTAGTTCATTATCATCATCATCATCTTCTCCCCATGGTCTAGGAATTCAGGAGCATTGCATTGAGACGCCATTCAACTACCAGCCATGGATCTCATGTTCACGTCTGAGAATTGGAGATGTCATATAGGGGATTGGGTTGAGTCACGGCTTGGAGCTGGGCCATAGGGATATCACGCACTTAATGATAAGGTATCCAATCAGGTGGTGTCACCATTGGTGAGACCCAATGGCTTGTGAATCGATCACTTTATGGAGATTAACGAGAGCCGTCTGTGTCTTTGTCTGCCCCAGGAATGTCATGTGAGCTCGAGGCCCCCAGAGAAAAGTGGTATATGGCAGTAAGTTCTCTATTTATGTTGGGGATGCCTCCTAGAAAACGCGACATTAAACGAAACGTAAATCAAAGGTTAATTTACCATTGGCTTCATGATAGCACCGCCGATTAGCACGGTTGGCTATGCATGGTGTGAAATAAGTTCAACATACATATGTATATTTAGGATACATTGTTGGGGCTAACTATTTCGGTCAACATTTCCCAAAAAAATAATGTAAATAAGTACCCAAAAAGATAAGGGAAGATAACCACAACCTTATTATATAACAAGTTTAACATATGCGTACTTCAAACGACATCTATCAAGTGTATGTATCTATGCGAGGTGGAGCAGTGGTGCAGTGATCGACGCACTGTGCTATGAACCCAGCAACCTGACTTCAACTCAGAGGCGGCAAATGGCCCTTGCCTCCTCGGCACCTTGCTAATAAACTAGCTTAAGGTAATTACACTTAGGATGGTCTCGTAACGATAAATAATTAACGGTCAATGAGACGTTATACAACTATTTAATTGTCTTTATTAAACAGCTTCGAGAGCAACAACAAACAACACCTCTCAGCCACCGTAATTGTCTCTCGATCTGCTGTATATCAACTGTCTAGAACAGGGGTCCGGAACCTTTTTGCCTGGGAGAGCCATAAAAGCCAAATATTTCTAAATATATTTCATTGAGAGCCATATAGTATTTTTAACGTATAATAAATTAAATATGTCTTACTTTTAATGCGACTTCTGGTGCTACATGGTTTTGCTGATGGCCTTGTAGTCTGGTTGAGCTTCATGCAGGCGTGACCTGTGAAATTTATCTTCAAAACTAATTTCTGTTTACTTTAAAATGACACAGTATTATTAAGCAATATCACAAGTATTTTAAATCAGTTCCAAATTGATTTTTTTTCTTTTTTCAACGCAAAATTGTCTGGGAGCCATATGCCGTCACTGGAAGAGCCATATATGGCTCACGAGCCATAGGTTCCCGACCGCTGGTCTAGAAGTTCTGCTTAGCTCCACCTCTGACGATTAATTCAGCCTCGATTTAGAACGAATCAAGAACTGTCGTTAACAGCAATAGCATACGCAATATTCATGCCATACATCAGCAAACTAAACCACTCTGGAGCTATAAACATCACACTTTCATCGAGCCAGACAATGCTGATGCTGTGGCCGAATGTCCAATGACACAGAGTTTGAATTACCCATTGTAACGTTTATTGACAATGTTGTCTCAGAAGCACTGCCGTTGTCGATCTCATGCTGTTACAATGGTAATCCGGGTGACATCTCCTCACCGGAGCTGTCATTCCCTTCTTCTTATCGATGACGCCACGTGTTCAGTCAAGACGCGTGGCGCGCCGTAACGTTGCTTTCGTTTGGCTTCATCCAATTTCTGAATACGATACGTGTTGCCAGGTGACTACTATTGATCCCCTGTACAACGTGTCCATTAAGTCCCTATCTAATATGCGATATTATAATCAGAGGTATATTTGTTAATAACACTTAAGCATTGGATGCTACATGAGCACTGTCGATATCTCTGCATACCTCAGATCTGTCAACTGCAATGCGGAACACGTTTTGCAACAACTGTCGAGTTATTTTCATAATTGCAACCTCGAAACACGATCTCGTCAGTCTTGCAGATCTCTAACCCATGTTCGATACACCTCTGACTTGATGACGACACATGGAGCTGTCCAGGGCCTGTTATCGGCACATCCCATCCAGCGATTGGGAAAACGTTTGTTAATGTTCTCCCAATACGATGTTTGCGTAATGACAAGGAGTCCCCCATCTTATTGAAACTGTTACTGCTATCACACTTTCTTGTACATTCATATTCATAGGGTTCTGCAAAGACACATATTTACATACAATTGGTTCAACCAAATAGATAGGGACCTCATGGACACCCTGTACATGGACTTCGTCCGCGTTGGTGGGCCAATCTGCCCGGCTCCAGTCGAGTTTAAATGACGTTACCCACGGCGAGCTTCGCATTACTGTAGTGATGGTCATCAGAGGCTCTTTTCATATACTGCTGTTTCTGTTCACTACGTTGAGATGCAATGACTTGAAGCTGAGCTTGTGTCTCAGCGCACGGATTTTGCGGTTTATCTGAAAAGTTTAAATATATGTCAGCAAATTAACATGTTGTCAAGACATCTAGATCTGATGGTTTTCCACATTTTATTTCCAACAGGAGATTCTTGGATGTTTTAAGGTATGGAACATCATCCCGAACATGCAATCCCCCACCAAAAAAACTGTATACTTACTGTAGTTGTACACCCATATGTTCGCGGTTCAACCGAGCTTGCGTTGTCCTTCCCCCATAGCTTGCTTAAGCCACCTCTGATTAGCGTGGTTGGCTACGTACGGTGCGCAACAAGTTCACAACAAAGAACAAACGTAGTCCTCTGCATGTTCCTGGAAGGCGTCTTCAAAATTAAATTGTGCATACTCATGCGAGAGCAGAATCTGAGTGATGTAATAACAACAACAAACCTGAAGCAGCTTGGGGTGTGATCAAAAATCCCATTCACGTCAATCGCATTGCACTTTCACTCTCTGCATCTACCAGAAGGGTAGGTAGCCTTCATTTTCCTGAAAGGCAAATTAAGATAATGTCGTTATACGTTAATGCTGTTTACTACACATTAACGGCGTGGTTCAAGTAAAAAAAAAATCATTCAGCATGTACTTTTCACTACTGGTATAATAATTTTACACATGTAAATATATGTTCTCAATGTAATGAGTGGATTAAAAGAAAATTAGGGAATAAGGTCATTGGAAGAAGTTTCGCTGTCTCTCGGCAAAAACATTGAATTTTACCGTTTAAGACTTCTACTATTGCAGGTTTTAGGCGGAACTGCCTTTGACCATCTCCGCACTATAAGTGGTACCACATAGCCAACATTTCGTGACACAAAACGTGGACTTGGTTTAATTTACAATACCGGTGCGTGTAGAATACATGATGCCCACATTTTTTCATACCCTTTATTTAAATCACTGTAGCACTGCCATCCCACTCATCCATCACAACGATGGGACACAACTTAATGGTTGAAGAATGTATTCATGGAGGAAAAAATGCAGTGTTCATTACGTGAATACTCTTGCTTTGACTGAAATAAAAACTTGATTACCAATGAAGGATCCTTTTACTCAGAGCACTTTACATGTACGGCCTAAATAGTGCAGGGAAAGTGTTCCAGTTGGAGGTTATAATCTCTTTAAAATGTCTTTCAGTTATTTTTGGGAAGCCTTTCCCACCTACTTGGGTATGGATTCGAGAGGTGGATTTACGTGTATTCGTATGCTCATAAATACAATTTTCGATTCACGTGGCTTTGTGCTTCACGTGTCTTTTAAAGCTATGGGCTCTGCATTTACCACATACTTAAAAAACATGACAGCTTATCAAATTGTGCCTCTCCCAGTGCATACATCTAGATATGACAGCTCCTCATTGCAGCTGTCATTTCCTTTTTCTTATCGATGACACCACGACTTCCGTTGAGGTGCGCGGCACGCCGTGACGTTGCTTTCGGTTGGCTTCTTCATCCAATTTCTCAACACGATACGTGTTGGCAGGTGACTACTTGTGGTCCCTTATACAGAGTATCCATAAAGTCCCTATCTATGTTATTGAAACCAAAGCAATTTAGGGGTAAATTATACAATATAATCAGAGGTATATTTATTAATAACTATTAATCATTGAATTCTACATGAGCACTCTCGATATCTCTGCACACCTCAGATCTGTCAGCTGCAATGCAGAACACGTGTTGCAGCATATGTGGAGTTATTTTCGTAACTGTCGTCCCTATACATGATTTCGTCAGTCTTGCAGATCTGTAACTCATGTTCTATACACCTCTGACTTGATGATGACCCCATGCAAAGAAATATAAAGGCGTTAAATGCGGAGATGGAGCTGTCCAGGGCCTGTTGCTGGCACGTCCCATTCAGCGGTTGTGAAAACGTTTGTTAATGTTCTCCCAATACGATGTTTGCGTAATGACAAGGAGTCCCCTTTCTTATTGAAAATGTTACTACCTTCACACGTGCTTGTATATTCAGATTCATAGGGTCCTTCAAAGAAACATTTACATACCATTGGTTCAACAAAATAGATGGGGACTTCATGGACACCCTTTACATGGACTGCGTGTGCGTCGGTGGGCCAATGTGCCCGGCTCCAGTCGGGTTTAAATGACGTTTCCCACAGCGAGCTTTGCATTGGCATGTTGATACTCATCAGAGGCCCTCTTCATATACTGCTGCTTCTGTTCACTACGTTGACATGCAATGACTTGAAGCTGAGCTTGTGGTTGCCAAGGCTGGATCTCATCTATGTCTCAGCGCTCGGATTTTGCGTTTTACCTGAACAGTTTAAACAAATGTCAGCAAATTAACATGTTCGCAAGGCATCTGGATCTGATGGTTTTCCCCATTTTATCCCCAACAGGTCCTTCGATTTTCTAAGGTATGGACCATCATCCCGAACATACAATCCCCCACCAATGTAATGAGTGGATTACAAGAAAAATGGGAATAAGGTCATTGGAAGAAGTGTAATGGGTTCAATCAGGCGCACACTAGAACTTGGAGGCAACACGGTTTATTAACTAACATCACATAACCCTTAACGGAATAGCAACTTAAGGTGGTAACCCACCGTTCCTACACTCAGCCATCTACTCCAAGTGTATATAGCTATTTACATTCTGGATGGGGCAACTACAAACCAGACCAGGTCAGCCAACGCGCTGCCTGGTCCACGCCCGGAGACCTGAAGATTTATTACAGCGGCATTGACCCCGGTCACCCCCCGGGGCTCGGCTTTTATCCTTACGGCGTGGCCAGGCCCTGCCTTTGGCCACACTTCTTTTCCCGGTCTTTCGTGAGTGTTCCGGGCCCACCTTACGTGTTCCTCAACCCTGGTACCCCCATTCGCACCACATCTGGTCACGTGCCCCTTCCTGTTTACCAAGCCTCCCCTGATATGCCCATTTGGTATCCGCGTGAGTCTCCGCCCCTACAGTACCTCCCACAAGGTACTGTCTCTACACCAAGGTACTCCGCAGAACATTGCATTTTACCATTTAAGACTACGACTATTGCTATTTTAGGAGGAACTGCCTTTGACCATCTCCGTACTATAAGTGGTACCACATAGCCAACATTTTGTGACTCAAAACGTGGACTTGGTTTTCAAGTTTCAAGTTGATTTATTAGATATAGCCCTGTGAGTCATTCGGCTCTTGATTTGGGTGCAACCGCAACAAACAAAAAACAAAAACATGAACAAGAAAACATCTTAAAGTGACTGTGCAAACAGAAAATCCAAGAAAAGACAGCAAAATATTGCAGAAAAACCACCGTACACCAATGCTGTGCGCAAAAATCCCAGTGGAATGCAAGTCAAACAAAAACAACAACAACCACAAGACAACTTAGATTAAGGCCATACGTCTAATTCCGTACTACAACAAACAAAAATGGCCAAACCAAAAAACTTTTGGAAATCACCAAAATAAAGCCATAAAAGCAATGAAACAGTGATCATAGGAACTGTGACCGAATTTTCGCAATAAATGACAATGCACCTTTAAGATCAGCACACTAAATCAAAACACAGGTCATACTTTGCAGCAATCATCTGGAGCGAAACATTTTATTTTAGGCCACTGAATAGCAGTGGCAGCTTGGGGTGTACAACTCCTCTAGAGCAGTTTTGAATGAAGATCTCATAGGTAGTGATTCAAGTTGCAGTTTATTGGCAATAGCATTCCAGATCCTGGGGGCATCAATAGCAAAGGCCCTTCCTCCAGTATTTGTACGGCAATAGGGAAGGTGAAGCTGGTAAATGAGCGTAGACCGTAGGTAAAATTTGTTCTTTGAAACAGAGAGGAAATCCAGCAGGTAATCTGCGGATTTTATTGTAAGTACATCATGAATAAATAAGATCTGGTGCACAAGCCGTCGAACATTAAGAGATGTTAAGTTCGACCCAATGTAGAGATCACAGTGGTGAGTCCTATATGGGAAGTTCAATGCAAATCTTAAGAACGAGTGATACATTGAGTCAAGCTTCTTCAGTATAGTACTTGGGGCTGATTTATACACGATGTCACAGTAATCAAGTAGAGGCAGTATGGTAGCTTTTATCAATTCCAAACGGAACATAGGGGGGAAGCAGTGCTTGTGTCGATACAGAAAACCAATTTTTATGTTTGTCCTTTTACCAATATAATCAATGTGATCTTCAAAATTCAGTTCTGAATCCAGGATGACCCCATGATACTTATAGATCTTGACTTGCTCTATTTGATCATTATTTAAGGAATGTAATTAGGGAAAATTTACTTCCCGTTTTCATCCTGGTGAGAAGCATAGCACCTTGGTTTTGGAGGTATTCAGGACTAGTTTAAGAGCAACTAGCTGATGTTGTAGTTTGTTGAAATCACCCTGGAGCTTAGCAATCACGTCATTCGGAGAGCGGCCAGCAGTAATCAGTATCGTGTCATCTGCAAAAAGATTTACCCTGGAATGATCCAGGCCAGTGCCCAAGTCATTGACATAAAGAGAGAACAAGAGGGGGCCGAGAATGGAACCCTGTGGAACCCCTTTTGTTATCTTAACACTGTTTGACCTCCAACCAGTGGCGGCTCCTGCAAAATCTCTCAGGGGGGGCAAATGTCTGGATGATTGATAAGGATAAGGTCCACCCATGCAATGGATAAATTAACAGCTTAAGCATGTAAAGGCAACTTCACTTCTTTAATATTAATGAAAAATAAAGTGACTCTTACAATACATCTTGTTTGTTTCTATACTCACTATTAAAACAAACCACTTAAGTTTCTTTTATTAAAGATTCCACTAGGTGGCGACAAATTATATTGTTGGATGAAACGTGCTTACGTATGATGACGTAAGCACGTATGATGACGTAAGCACGTTAGGGCGAGCCTTCCCGGAAGCCATAGAGAATGCATTGCAGCGCCCCCGTTCGAAAAAAAAACATCTTTGAATGTAAGTCTATGGGACCACTCGGGGCGATTCTCAGCTGGAGGGAAATCGCCCAAAAAGAGGCGGTACTCAGAACGTAGCATGACGCTGATTGGACTATATCCAGAGGCACAGTGACGGCTAGCGTGACTCTGTGGTTGAATGACATTGGTGGTGCGTCGCCCAATCGCCCTAATGAAGAAACCGCCCCTGCCTCCAACCATCTGTGAATACAGTTTGGGTGCGAGAAAAGAGGTAATTTTTTTACCATTTTACTGTGTTTTCGGAAAAACCGAGGCAACTTATTTTACTAGACAGGGTGTTGGGGTCGACTGTATCAAAAGCATTGGACAAGTCAAGAAAAAGACAGGCACAGTACTGCTTATTATCAAGGCTACTGTAAATGTGATTCAGAGAGTCTAATGCAGCAGATGTGGTGCTGTATTTTTTTCGGAACCCAGATTGTTTTAGATGTAATAGATTGTTGGCGGACAGGAAATTGCTAATTTGGTAGTTCAATAATTTTTCACAAATTTTCATCAACGGGGACAAAATTGAGATAGGTTGGTAGTTATTTGGATCATCTTTAGGGCCCCCTTTGTGAAGTGGATGAACATAGGAATGTTTCCATTCTAGAGGAACTGATGCTTCTTTGATGGACAGGTATCAAATATGGGCTATAGGTTTGTATATTAGGTGACCAACAGTAGAGCAAAGACGGGGATACTATCTGCTCCGGTAGAGGAGGACCATTTGAGGTAGGACAGTTGTTTCAGAACATTACTTTCGTGGATTGGCTTGAAACTAAATTCGTTTAATGTTTGGACAGGGGTGTAGGAATTTGCATGAGCAGGGGTGACTTCCAATACATTATCAAAAAGATTGCCAGCTTCAAAAAAATTAAGGTTAAAGTTGTCAACTATTTTTTTGTGATCTGAAAAAGATTCCCCCTTTCGGTTAAGCTCAACGGGAAGATTATCTGTTGTGGATGCCTTTTCGATACATTTGATTGTTTTCCATAAAATCCTGGCATTTCCATATGATTCCAAGAGAGTGGAGGAAAAGTAGGCATTTTTGTGACGCATCTATTCCTTAAAATCCTGTATTCTAGCCAGTCATTGACCAAATTACTTTTCTGAGCACATGCCCAAGCCTTGTCCCTAGTTTTCATGAGCTTTGTAATCAAAGGATCAAACCATGGTGGACGGTTGCCTTTAGTTTTAAATCTAACCAACTGAGCATGTTTGTTAAGAATTTGGAGAAACGTGTACCTGAAAGTCTCCCAAGCCGTAGTCAGGTTGGGGATATCACAGACCTTGTCAATATCCGAGGGAAGCACATCATTAGTAAATGCCTGAGTGCTGAAGTGTCTCATGGAGTGCTTCTCAACCAATTTAGGAGGGGGCTTTGGGTCTGGCTGATGATCTCACCCCAAAAATGAAGGAGTGATCACTAAGGTTATTATCCAGAACACCAGTCAGTGCAAAATTGTGAGGGGCATTTGTCAATAGGACGTCAAGCAGAGATGACTGTCCCGGATTTTTTAGGTTGGGTCTTGTGGGGACATTTATTAATTGAAACAGGTTACATTCATCTGCAAAATATGTGGCCACGGCCGGCGGGTTTAACCAATTACAATTTAGATAACTCACTAAAACTATTTCACCTTTAGGGAGGCCCCCAAGTAGCTCTCTCAGTGCAGATGCAGCTTCAACATCCTTCCCACTAGGCGGTCTATAGCAGTACACTACCAATATCTGTTGATTATTTGGGTGAGATATTTAATTGACAATGGTGAGTGTAGAATACATGGTGCCGCATCTTTTCATACCTTTTTTTTAAATTCACTGTAGCACTGCTATCCCACTCATCCATCACAACGATGGGACAATTAAAAACACTTAATGGCTGAAGATTTTATTCAGGGAGGAAAAAAAAACAGTGTTCATGACGTGGATACTCTTGCTATGACTGAAATCCAAACTTGATTATCAATGAAGGATACTCTTGCTCGGAGCACTCTTCACGTACGTCCTAATTAGTGCACGGAAAGTGTTCCGGTTGGAGGTTTTAATCTCTTGTTTTTTTTTGGTAGCCTTTCCCACCTACTTAGGTATGGATTCGAGAGGTGTTACTGGACCATGACTATTGATGGATTTAACGTGTATTCGTACGCTTATAAATACATTTTCGATTCACGTAGCTTTGTGCTTCACGTGACTCTTACAGCTATGGGCTCTGCATTTACCACATGCTTAGAAAGCATGACGGTTTATCAAATTGCGACTCTCGAAGTGCATACATCTAGATATGACATCGTATGTATGTGTGTTATTGATTATTGAATATAGGTTTCATCCTTTCCCTGTGAATGCATGTTTGGAAACAGCGAAGATGACCCAATCCACTCTCTTCTGGCAACCGCAGTGAAATATCTGCTTCTATGGCTGGCTTTCAAAGTCCCGTGAGTATGGGTGGAGGTTTGGCTGTCTGGATGTGTGCATTGTGTATACGGGGAGTAGTGGTGTAGTGGTTAGCACGCTGCACTACGAACTCGGCGACACGAATTCAAATCATGCTCATGGCCAACACCAGTGACGAATCTATCAACCAGTCTTGGATTTCCCCTAGGTCGACTCAGCCTCAAATTAGTACGTGTTGTGTAGTAAACATCGCCACTGGAAGACAAAGGCGGTCGGGCGTGATGATAACCACCCACCCCCTCGTGTGCTGTGCCGGCCTTCATAGCTGCTACTCGCTAACAGCACTTTCCCCAACAGACTGTTAAGGCTACACGGGGGATATTTGTCTTTTGCATTGTGTATGGTGGAGCTGAAGCCGAGACCTCCCGTCTGTGTGGCTAGCTCTAGACTCCGCAGGAGGGTCTCCATCTCCCTCTACGCAGGCATGGACAGCTTGCATGCAGAGCTGGACCGGTCCCACTTGAACGTCTGTGGAATACAGGTGGACTCGTTCTGGCTCTTGGAACGATGAGTGGAAAGTCCTCCACTTGGGGAACGATAACATCACAAACAGCAGGCAGTGGCCCTTCTGAATACATTTGTGAAGGGGAACTAAATAATGAAGTGTGGAACGCCATTTGTTCCAGGCTAATATGGAGGAAAAAAATCACAGATAATGCAACTAATATTTAAATTAGGCTATAAATCATTTAGTACCTAAGTTTTGTAATAGGTTGACATCCCAACGTGTTTGCGGTCACGTGGGTTCTGAGTCACTGACTCCCAACGAATGAGAAGCAGCTCACGATTAAAGCCACGTGCACATAAAGAAATTGAAATTTTAACTTATTGCAGTAATGGTTTTATCTGCAACCTGGATAAGTCGTCCACAGATCATCTCTATAATAAGCCAAGCGAGTGATACGTATAGATATTTGGAAATACTTTTGGACATGTGTAAGTACGTGTGGACATGCGTAAGCACACCCCCTATTTCAGAGACCCACACAAGTGCATGTGCATGAAGAGAGCGGCTATTTGCACTACCATGGCAGTGCCAATAGCAGTGCCGCACATCTATACATCACACAAGCCAATGTGGGACAGGTTTAATGGATGCACCCTGCAATGTCTCTTCAGTGAATCGAGTGCATTATCTTTGATCCACGCTACCTATGGCTTTTGGATGAGGAGTGTGCACATGCTGGTCAATAAAAGGGCTTGGATGAGCTAGAATGTGGGGAATTTAAGGGAAGACATAGAGCCAGAGTGTAACTACAGGAATGGCATATGGGTTGGGTCTCAATTATGGAAGAAATAGTATCTCGCATAAGGTGTAAGTGTCAGCAAGTCCTATTAGCAGCATTTCCCATTAAAAGCTCACTCTCTTTCAGCATTATTTGGACAATGTAATTGTATAATTGTTGTTCGCAGATGGTTGTTCTCCAACTCTGAATGCAGCCTCGTCTCATCCTCACCTCCAAATTTCCAAAGATCGCAGAACGTTCAAACAAATCCGTTCTTCCCAGGCTTTCCCAAACGAGTCACGGTCACAAGTCCTGAGCTCTTGAGAGCTTCTCATCGGGGCGACGGTACTGGGAGGTGGATGTGAGCAATTGTGGAAGGTGCTGTGTGGGAGTCGCATACAAGACGATGCCACATAACGGAGTTGGTAAGGAATGTTGGGTGGGACAGAACTCCATGTCCTGGTGTTTAGAGAAATATGGGACCACAATCAAAGTTCTGCATGGGGGAGTGGATCTCTTTAAAAGAGAAAAGAGTTTGGGTTTTAACAAAGTCGGCATTTTTCTGGATTGGGAGGCAAGGCTCCTGTTATTTTACCGCCATGACACAACGGAGCTCTGGCAACTCATTTCACCACCACTTTACCCAACCTCTTGTGCCAGCTGTTGGGTTGTGGTATTCGAAGTATAATAATAATTACCTGTCAATCGTTGAGTGATAGCTCATCTCATACTCTGCTCCGTGCCATCGCGATCGTCACTCAGCACAGGAATCTCATTCCCGCATACATCATACGACGACGGCACGGGATCACGCGGAGTTATACGCGCACACCATCACACACACACAAGACATCATTCACATCTCTCTAGATCGGGGTCAGCAACCTGTCACTCCAGAGCCGAATGCTTCGTGACATTATTCATTAAGGACCACCATCTCGTATTCACCACGTGGATTGCGGGATCTTGAAATACCGAATTGGAACAAAAATGGCACTTCTTGTTATTTTCTTTTCCAGCCCCTCTACTCTCGATGAACATTCTTAAGATAAAAAAATAAGTTTAGAAAAAAATCGGCTTTACCACACAATCACCAAGTCCCCCCCAACCTTGCCGATGGTGGCAACGAGCCTATTAGGAATCTCACATGGCTCCTGTCAAACGTTGGGATCACCAAGCAATCAGGGAGAGAGTGCGTTGCTTCATCCACGTTGTTCACGTGACACACAGCAGCAGCAGCAGCATCTGCCTGTCTCCAAGCTGCAGGTGTGCACTGATTGGACTTCCGCTGCCCGATGTGACCACGTAACAGCCAGTTAACCCCACCACGTGCTGAAGCGTCGAGCACGTAGAGGAGGTTGACTTGCAGGGGATTCTTCTGGAAGAAAATAATACGCGTTATAGGAGGCCACTACTTAAAACATCAAATTTGTTATTATTTACTTCGTTTCTTTGTTAAACTGAAGTCAATATGTACTGGGTGCTCGACAGAGGTTAGAAATACATCACAGTCAATACAGGCGTGCCTCACTTAATGAGCGAGATATACACGTTCTGTGAAAATTGCTCGTAAAGCGACAATCCCTTGAACGATCGTCGTTTTCCCACTGACTCTCACGTTGAAAGCTGAGTTACGTTTGAGCCCCAAAAGTTTCTACTCTTGAACAACTTTTTTTTTACGTAATTAAAAAATAACGTTATAAATCATGAAATGTAAAGCCTCACACGAAGAACCACAGTGCTTGCAGGTGCTTGTCCTGAGAGTCTGCAATTAGCGCCACCACCATCTTCCCGACCAAGGTTTTGATGTAAATATTTCACAGGGACACTCAATAAGGGGCCATCCATTTAGTACGTACGCATGGAGGGGGAGGGGGTTAACCCAAATGCGTACACTTGCGTATGGGGGGTCTACTGACAATGTGCGTATGCATAGAAAATGGTTGGGGGGGGGGGGAGCCTCATGAATAATTTGTCTACATTGGCCTTCAAATGAGTTAGTCAGGCGGTGGACTATGTTTGCTTAAACACGTAAATATGATAAATCCTTGATTGTTTATGCGTGGATTAAATATCGGCTGTTCTATAGGAATTGGGGGGGGGGGATGTAAAAAGTACGCGTGCCTACAGGGAGGGGGGGAGGGATCAAGTTGACAGTTTTTTGCGTACGTACTAAATGGATGGCCCCCAACAAGGGTGACCACACACGCACACACGCGCGGTAAACAAAATGCCCTGCCATTCAATGTATGTTTGACGAGTAACATCGCAAACAGCAATATTAATTGCACAATGTTACTGACATTACCACTGACATTTAAGGTGAACGTAATAATGTAGGGCTCAGGACACCGACGTCGGATATGAAGACCTTTATTGGAGCACACCATCTCACAAGCCTCCAGCCGCCATTCCTCCCAGCCGTCTCTTTCTCTTCCCCTTCTCGACGCTCTCCTTTGATTCCTGTCCCCCTTCCCCTCGTGCCCCCTCTACCTCCACCAATCCCATCTCTCTGCCAACCAACCGACTCTGCACTGTCTCCTCCCCCTATTCCACTTTCCTGTTATATTTTTTTAACCAAGCTGACCAATCCAAGCTGAGTATTTCCTCTGGCCCCTCCCCAGGTTGGGTTGGGCCCGCCCGCCCCACCCCTTCCCCCATCCTCTAATGTTGATAGACTCCTCCCTCTCTCCCTGATCCTGATGCGTAATCATGTCCAAGGATAATATCCTTAGAATGAAAATTACAAAAAAAACGTTGATAATATCAGTAAAAAATATTTATAGGAATTTAGGCAGACACCGCTTAGCACTCAAGAGGCGTTGTTCCTAGAGAAGTGAGCAGCGCTAATCGAATTGGCGATTCAAGGGGTCATGATATTGTAGATATGGGGATGCGTTCCCTACGTAGTAATTTTTTTCGTTTTAGCAATATAAGAGGGCTTCGTTGGTATAATGGTAATCGCGCTAATAATAGTATATGGTAAACATGATTTCTTAAACAAAAATAACGTATGATAACATGAGTGAATGTTATGTACTGTACTCACGAGTGCATTCTGCTGTACCCGTAGAAGGCCGTGGAGGGAGACGAGTTTGGAGGAGCTCCAGCACCTCCATGGTCGTTGCGATGCCCTCAGTCTAAATGTCTGTGGTGAGCTTCCTTTGAGATGGGGGACCTTAGACTCTATCCTGGTCTCGTGAGTTCTCTCCCGGCTAAAAGCACTGTAATGTTAAAGGGATAAGAAATGGGGAAGACTAAATATTTTGTTTGTAAAAAATTGATCGTGACTCCGATTCGTCACAATTGAATCGTTGGAAGTGGGGTCTGGTTGGCTCAGAGCCATGCATCGCTCTCATTGGCTCTCAGCTGACCAATGGGACAAGCGGCCAGCTGGTAACAATTTGAACCTTACGGCTGCCCAGGTTGGACTGTACGCGTCGGCTCTATCAATGTAATGAATTATGAGTAGTTACTAAATCATTAACGATGAATTAATATGAATTATTAATTAAAGTTAATCCATACGTATTAATTATTAAGGTGGACCGTTAGGTGGAGCGGGGTACATGCCACACATTTAAATCACACGGCGATCTGACCCCAAAAGTCAATTATGAATCAAGATAAGAATGTCTATAATCCATGCATAGTCTAGGGTTGGGTGTGTCTGTACGATGTAGTTAATAACTGCTAAGAAGCTCCGACGAGGTGTGTTGAACAAGAGGAAGGTAAAACCGTTGTCGTGTACAGTTTACGTTGGGTGTTCACAACTCCAGCGGAGCTGCACACACTTCGTCTTCATCCCAGGCAAGCGCCCCTCCAGTCGGCGATGCTCATTCATAGCTGCCACACCGCCATTAATTAGCCACCACGTGCCTATCTCTAGCTGCAGTGCCTTCCCATCAATCATCCTGTAACCACGTGTCTTATATCTCGTTAACCACGTGTCTTGTCTCGTTAGCCACGTGTCTTGTGTCTCGTTAACCACGTGTCCTTTTCTGCTACAGTGCCCTATCATTCATCATCTCTCCACCACCTGTTCTATTTCTAATTCCTTTCAGCATCTGTGTTTTTTTCTATTTTATAAATCTTTGGTAGCTCCATATTACGTTTGTTCTATACTGTATTTAGTTTCCTACATAAGTAACGATGTAAAGTCGAGTGATCTTATTGATATAATCTAATGTTAATAAACGCGTGTAGGGTTAGACCACTGGTGATCTGATCCCATTATAAATCAAGATAATAATGATAACAACTAAAATCCATACATAGTCTAAGGTTGGATGCATATATAATGTAGTTTATAAGTAACCATTTGAAGTTGAGTGATTTTATTGATATAATCTGATGGCACTAAACGTGTTTTGGGTTAGGCCAGTGGCGATCTGACAACCAAAATTATATTTTAATCAAGATGATAACTAGAATCTATATATAGTCTTAGGTTCGATGGGTACATATATGTCCTATAGTTTATAAGTGATGATTTAAAGTCGAGTGATGTTATTGGTATAATCTGATGTTACAAAACGTGTGCAGAGATAGGGCAGTCGCAGTCTGACTCCAACATTTTATTATGAATCACGATAATGATAACTATAATCCACACATAGCTTACGGTTGGGTGCGTATATACTGTAGTTTATAAGTAACGATTTGAAGTCATGTTATTGATATAATCTGATGTTACTAAACGCGTGTCGGGATAGGCCCGGCTGTGGTCAATGCGTGGATCTCAGGACAAATCAGAACGCCTTTCTGACATCGGCGATTCTCGTCACAACCGATGGGAGATGTTAACTACGTCGCCTGGTATACATGAGTGCGTGGTTTCGATCCCAACCCTGACGCCTGCTGTATATTTGGAGTTTGCGTGTCTCTCTCCCCATCGTCGTGTGGATTTTTTTCCGAGTCGTCTGGGTTTTCCTTCCACATTTAGAATCGACATCACGTGTTTAGAGTATTTGGCTGCTTTAAATCTCCACGTGATAAGCCACTTCGTTGAGCTATCATTTATGGCCAGGTCGCTTCTGAGACATAGCTACATAGCTCAGTGTGATTTACCTGGTAAAATAAAAATAGTGTATAGTTTTAAAAGTCGTTTAAAGTAGTTTTTAAAGTTCAAATAAAAATCCCATTCTTAAGATTCATTCATTGAAACCATAGTAGCTTCTACCAGTAGATGGCGATAATGATCGGTGTGTCTCGAGCAGCGTTCTTCATTGCAACGCCCCCGTGGTGCACTGGCGTCCCCTGGTGGTCTCGTGTGTAGCCTCTAACAGTCTAACAAGACAAAAAGAGTGAGAACACTGCACCATCATCATCGTGCTGCTGTCAAACCCAACCCAATGATTTCAAATGGTGTGACGGCCCTCACTACCGACGATGTCTTATCGGGGAAAGTGGCAACGCTGGCCTAGAGGATATTTCAGGGTTAGATCCACCCGAGTTAATTGTCGATGAGAGCAGATCACTGATTCCTCCGTTGAGATCCACCGCAGAATAGATCCTCCCAGTTGCTGGGAATGTTGACCACTGCTGGCTTATGCCATGGATATGCATCAGCATGGCCACGGATATGTATCAGCGTGGCCATGGGTTTGTGTCAGTGTAGCCATGGGTATGTATCAACGTTGCCATAGATATGTATCAATGCGGTCATGGGTATGTATCAATGCGGTCATGGGTATGTATCAATGCGGTTATGGGTATGTATCAATGCGGTCATGGGGGTGTTGTTTAAACTTTTTTTCTTTGATATGATTTTTAAAAAGACATAATAAATACAAAAACTCATTTCTGGCACACAGTCACATGTCGAAGGATGTCGCTGCAAAGTCGTTCGTGAGTCGATGTGCGCGCGCGGTTCACCTGGTGAACAAACGGAGCCGGTGATCAATCATTCACGTGCGTGTGTGTGCATGTGTGTGCGTGTGTGCGTGCGTGCGTGTGTGCGTGTGTGGAATTTGCTGCGCGCATGCTGCTCCTGATGAACACGACACACGCGTGTGGCTGCCAAGGGATTGTTTGGGGGGGGGGGGGGCGAAACTTTGTGTTTGGATTCGCGTAATAAATGGTGAAGGTTGAAGTGTTGAAAAAATCCCGCTGTCCGGATCGTCATCATCATCACGGTCCATGGGCAGATAGATAGCTCCCTAATCGTAGTAGTTGGTGTGTCCACTGCTACATTTCGTCATTTGTTTTTTCCACTTTCCTCTCTCCGTCTTGTAGTGCCAAAATGCTCAAATAGTGCCACATCATAGTAGTGTATTGTAGAGTGTGTGATGCCGCCGCCGCGAAGCCGTTCGGCAGGCACCAAATCCCCGACCTCGCCACCACCAAGCAACGGAGCCGACCCCGCGTCCCCCTCACCTCACCTCACATGAACACACCCGCACTCATTTCCCCCCCCCCATAGAGCTCCGAGGGGAGGTCGCCTGGCCGACCGGTTTTTATCCGAGAGACCCTTATTGGGATTAATTCTCACGGTTTCCGGCGATCAGGGAATTGGATGACCTCCCCCGTGCTACGTGGCACTGCGGCGCTGCGGCCGGCCTTAATATGGTGTGGTCGCGGCGTGGGGCATTCGGCCACCGCGGTTGAGGCGCATTTCCCCCCACACACACCCCCACGAGTCGACGGGGCAAGCAGGGGAGGCACGGGACAGCATGAATAGCGGGATCACAGGGGCTGTTGCGCATAGTCATGGAGGGTTGGGATAATTGCGCTTGAGCGCGCAGGCCCCATTGTTAGGAGGGTAAGGGATTAATTAGGATTTACGCCTTGCAACGCAGCTCACTGATTAGCAGATCAAAAGCGCCCGGAATCGCCTGTGCGCGGGCTTGGGGTGCACGAGCCCATTGTTCAGCGCAGCATCCCCTTTGAGGTAGGGAGGATAAATAGAGGAGCGCAGAGGGG